ATCCCCCACCCTTAAAGAGTGATTGAAAGAGTAGAAATGGCAACCTACTGAGTCACACAAACACTATGGCTTGTTGTAGACCTCCCAATCCCCCACCCTTAAAGAGTGATTGAAAGAGTAGAAATGGCAACCTACTGAGTCACACAAACACTATGGCTTGTTGTAGACCTCCCAATCCCCCACCCTTAAAGAGTGATTGAAGGAGTAGAAATGGCAACCTACTGAGTCACACAAACACTATGGCTTGTTGTAGACCTCCCAATCCCCCACCCTTGAAGAGTGATTGAAAGAGTAGATTTGGCAACCTACTGAGTCACACAAACACTATGGCTTGTTGTAGACCTCCCAATCCCCCACCTTTAAAGAGTGATTGAAAGAGTAGATTTGGCAACCTACTGAGTCACACAAACACTATGGCTAGTTGTAGACCTCCCAATCCCCCACCTTTAAAGAGTGATTGAAAGAGTAGATTTGGCAACCTACTGAGTCACACAAACACTATGGCTAGTTGTAGACCTCCCAATCCCCCACCTTTAAAGAGTGATTGAAAGAGTAGATTTGGCAACCTACTGAGTCACACAAACACTATGGCTAGTTGTAGACCTCAGTGTGAGACCTGTATATTCTTCTCCTTACTGATCTGGCATTAACCTATGCCACTTTCTACTTCTGTGGGGGATTCTTTTGCACTTGCTCTGATATGATTGATACCATAAATAGATATTGTGTCCTGCTGCTCTATGTTGAAGACCATATATAGATATTGTACCCTGCTGCTCTATGTTGAAGACCATATATAGATATTGTGTCCTGCTGCTCTATGTTGAAGACCATATATAGATATTGTACCCTGCTGCTCTATGTTGAAGACCATATATAGATATTGTACCCTGCTGCTCTATGTTGAAGACCATATATAGATATTGTGCCCTGCTGCTCTATGTTGAAGACCATATATAGATATTGTGCCCTGCTGCTCTATGTTGAAGACCATATATAGATATTGTACCCTGCTGCTCTATGTTGAAGACCATATATAGATATTGTGCCCTGCTGCTTTATGTTGAAGACCATATATAGATATTGTGCCCTGCTGCTCTATGTTGAAGACCATATATAGATATTGTGCCCTGCTGCTCTATGTTGAAGACCATATATAGATATTGTGCCCTGCTGCTCTATGTTGAAGACCATACATAGATATTGTGCCCTGCTGCTCTATGTTGAAGACCATATATAGATATTGTGCCCTGCTGCTCTATGTTGAAGACCATATATAGATATTGTGCCCTGCTGCTCTATGTTGAAGACCATATATAGATATTGTGCCCTGCTGATCTATGTTGAAGACCATATATAGATGTTGTGCCCAGCTGCTCTATGTTGAAGACCATACATAGATATTGTGCCCTGCTGCTCTATGTTGACCATACATAGATATTGTGCCCTGCTGCTCTATGTTGAAGACCATACATAGATATTGTGCCCAGCTGCTCTATGTTGAAGACCATATATAGATATTGTGCCCTGCTGCTCTATGTTGAAGACCATATATAGATATTGTGCCCTGCTGCTCTATGTTGAAGACCATATATAGATATTGTGCCCTGCTGCTCTATGTTGAAGACCATATATAGATATTGTGCCCAGCTGCTCTATGTTGAAGACCATATATAGATATTGTGCCCTGCTGCTCTATGTTGAAGACCATACATAGATATTGTGCCCTGCTGCTCTATGTTGAAGACCATACATAGATATTGTGCCCTACTGCTCTTTGTTAAAGACCATATATAGATATTGTGCCCTGCTGCTTTATGTTGAAGACCATATATAGATATTGTGCCCTGCTGCTCAATGTTAAAGACCATATATAGATATTGTGCCCAGCTGCTCTATGTTGAAGACCATATATAGATATTGTGCCCTGCTGCTCTATGTTGAAGACCATATATAGATATTGTGCCCTGCTGCTCTATGTTGAAGACCATATATAGATATTGTGTCCTGCTGCTCTATGTTGAAGACCATATATAGATATTGTGTCCTGCTGCTCTATGTTGAAGACCATACATAGATATTGTGCCCTGCTGCTCTATGTTGACCATACATAGATATTGTGCCCTGCTGCTCTATGTTGAAGACCATACATAGATATTGTGCCCTGCTGCTCTATGTTGAAGACCATACATAGATATTGTGCCCTGCTGCTCTATGTTGAAGACCATATATAGATATTGTGCCCTGCTGCTCTATGTTGAAGACCATAAATAGATATTGTGCCCTGCTGCTCTATGTTGAAGACCATATATAGATATTGTGCCCTGCTGCTCTATGTTGAAGACCATATATAGATATTGTGCCCTGCTGCTCTATGTTGAAGACCATATATAGATATTGTGCCCTGCTGCTCTATGTTGGAGCAAGGCTGCATTTGGCTGGCAAACATCTTTCACATGTTGACTGTTGCCCATAAGCCTGTTTCAAGAGAGCTTGTAGCTGGCTGGTAACTATCATGGTCATGAAATTATGCACATAGAAAATGCCATTTTTCAGTTGTCGGTCTCATTTACCACAAGTTCTCCCTGTCCAGTAATTTGATGAAGCAACATATATTTCCGTCATTTCAACATTTGTCTCCACTCATCCGTCATATCAACATTTGTCCCCACTCATCCATAATTCCAACATTTGTCCCCACTCATCCGTCATTCCAATATTTGTCCCCACTCACCCATCATTCCAACATTTGTCCCCACTCACCCATCATTCCAACATTTGTCCCCACTCATCCATCATTCCAGCATTTGTCCCCACTCATCCGTCATTCCAACATTTGTCCCCACTCATCCGTCATTCCAACATTTGTCCCCACTCATCCGTATTTTCAACAAATTTATAATACATCTGATTACACCATATGAGATAATATGTCTAAGAAATCTGGCAGGAAAAACAAGAAGTTACAAAGTCATCATAAAAATTTAAGAACAATAGTAGGCACAGTACCGGTGAATGATTTCATAAAACATCATGTATTCATATGGTTTGGTCATAAGTTTAGAATAGAACCTAATTAACCAGCAGCTAGAGCATACCACATGAGAGCAGCAGGCAAGAGACAGACAATGAAAGACATGGACGGAGGCAGTAAAAGGGACACTACAGAAACACAATATGACATCAATACAAGCTACGCAACAATTAAAAGACAGGAAATTGTAACTTCTCTCTGTGACATCAATACAAGCTATGCAACAAATAAAAGACAGGAAACTGTAACTTCTCTCTGTGACATCAATACAAGCTATACAGCAAATAAAAGACAGGAAACTATAACTCCTCTCTGTGACATCAATACAAGCTATGTAGATTATAAAAGACAGGAAACTAACTCCTCTCTGTGACATCAATACAAGCTATGTAGATTATAAAAGACAGGAAACTAACTCCTCTCTGTGACATCAATACAAGCTATGTAGATTATAAAAGACAGGAAACTAACTCCTCTCTGTGACATCAATACAAGCTATGTAGATTATAAAAGACAGGAAACTGTAACTTCTCTCTGTGACATCAATACAAGCTATGTAGATTATAAAAGACAGGAAACTGTAACTTCTCTCTGTGACATCAATACAAGCTATGCAACAAATAAAAGACAGGAAACTGTAACTTCTCTCTGTGACATCAATACAAGCTATGCAACAAATAAAAGACAGGAAACTGTAACTTCTCTCTGTGACATTAATACAAGCTATGCAGATTATAAAAGACAGGAAACTAACTCCTCTCTGTGACATCAATACAAGCTATGTAGATTATAAAAGACAGGAAACTGTAACTGCTCTTTGTGACATCAATACAAGCTATGCAACAAATAAAAGACAGGAAACTGTAACTTCTCTATGTGACATCAATACAAGCTATGCAACAAATAAAAGACAGGAAACTGTAACTGCTCTATGTGACATCAATACAAGCTATGTAGATTATAAAAGACAGGAAACTGTAACTTCTCTCTGTGACATCAATACAAGCTATGTAGATTATAAAAGACAGGAAACTGTAACTTCTCTCTGTGACATCAATACAAGCTATGCAACAAATAAAAGACAGGAAACTGTAACTGCTCTCTGTGACATCAATACAAGCTATACAACAAATAAAAGACAGGAAACTATAACCTCTCTGTGACATCAATACAAGCTATACAACAAATAAAAGACAGGAAACTATAACCTCTCTGTGACATCAATACAAGCTATACAACAAATAAAAGACAGGAAACTATAACTTCTCTGTGACATCAATACAAGCTATACAACAAATAAAAGACAGGAAACTATAACCTCTCTGTGACATCAATACAAGCTATACAACAAATAAAAGACAGGAAACTAACTCCTCTTTGTGACATCAATACAAGCTATGTAGATTATAAAAGACAGGAAACTGTAACTTCTCTCTGTGACATCAATACAAGCTATGCAACAAATAAAAGACAGGAAACTGTAACTGCTCTCTGTGACATCAATACAAGCTATACAACAAATAAAAGACAGGAAACTAACTCCTCTTTGTGACACTTTGAGGCATGAGCAGTAGGATCAACAAACAAACAAAAAGAAGGAGATAATTCCAGTTTTTTTCCCTGTGTAGGTGCCTTTCTTCTAAGTGCACATTTTGTGCACTATTTTGGGATCTAGATCTTCTGAGTGCACATTTTGTGCACTATTTTGGGTTCTAGATTTTCAAGTTAAATATAGTTAGTCCAGATTGGTTGACAACTTGCCCGCCTTTCTTCACCTTCATCCTGTCATGAAATGCTCTCTTGCAACTGTCATTGTCATGAAACACACATATACATTGTTATACACCTTTGGACTCATTGCATTAAAGCATCTCCCAACACTGTAAATGGTTTTATAGTAATTACCCTTAATAATTTTTTCTTTTGTACTTACAGTAATAAGTCTTCTCTGTTTTTGTCTCATCAGTGAAGAAAATGTTTGGAAGCTGTGTTCACTGGTTCAAGAGAACTGCCCCAGCTCAGAACTACTCAAATGTTTCTGTGTGTTTATATCCAATGACTGCAGGCAGGTAGGACACTCACAACATGTGTCTGTTTCTATTTAGTGTTGATGTACTGATTCCAAACTGGTGCCTTGTCATGTGACTCTTTCTGTCTTATACCTGTACAGTGTTTGGTGCAAGGACATTCAGCTTGTACTTTCTGTTCTTCATGACTTTTCTACAGTCTCTAGTATCTAGTCCCTTCAGATGTAATTGCACATTACATAATGGGTAATGGTAACATATTCATGATCCTTTCTTCATCAGTGAGCATTTTAGCTTGTTTCTGTAAATAAGAGCTGTGTTGATGAAGACATTTTGTTGATCAAAGGTTACTGCATTACAATCAGTTGTAAATAAGTAAGTAAAGTAAAGACCCCTTTCATGCCTTTGGGCGCATCAGGCATATGGGAAGAGCACCTATATTTTTACAGACTAAGCTGCACTAGTTAGATAATGTGGTCAGCATTACGCCGGCTGTCTTTACTTCCCCAGGACACCAACCTGGTACCCATTTTAGGCTGGGTCCACCTGCGACGCCCCATACCATAATAAAAATCCACACAGCCAGCACTGGGTTTCGATTGCGGTACGTTAAAATTACGAGTCGGACTCGCAACGCCTATGCCACGGACGCCGCCACAATCAGTTGTAGTTGACATCATCTTGATTTGTCTGTAGATTTTGTGCATACTTTTTTATGTTCACCACTTAGTATTCAATAAGTATACATTTAGGAAGCGTACAGGCAGTTTCTGCCTACACCACATGGGTTGAAAATATATGTGAAATATTCTTTTGTTTTCTGTAATCCTGTTTATTTGCTGGATGCGGTTAATGGGGTTTTGTAAGCACACTCTGAATAAGGGTCCCTTTGAAATTCTTTAATTCTGTTTCTCTATCAGACACGTTTTGTTAAGATTCTTTCCTTTCATGCCTTAGTGATCTCATGCTAGCTTTAAACTTCAAGTGTTTTTCTGAGATTAAATGTACTTTCTGCTGTAGTTTAGTTTGCTGTTCTGTACTGTTTGCTGTTCTGTACTGTTGTTTGCTGTTCTGTACTGTTGTTTGCTGTTCTGTACTGTTGTTTGCTGTTCTGTACTGTTGTTTGCTGTTCTGTACTGTGTTGTCTTGGCTGCGAAGGACACTCACAACACGTGTCTGTTTCTATTTAGTGTTGATGTACTGATTCCAAACTGGTGCCTTGTCATGTGACTCTTTCTGTCTTATACCTGTACAGTGTTTGGTGCAAGGACATTCAGCTTGTACTTTCTGTTCTTCATGACTTTTCTACAGTCTCTAGTATCTAGTCCCTTCAGATGTAATTGCACATTACATAATGGGTAATGGTAACATATTCATGATCCTTTCTTCATCAGTGAGCATTTTAGCTTGTTTCTGTAAATAAGAGCTGTGTTGATGAAGACATTTTGTTGATCAAAGGTTACTGCATTACAATCAGTTGTAAATAAGTAAGTAAAGTAAAGACCCCTTTCATGCCTTTGAGCGCATCAGGCATATGGGAAGAGCACCTATATTTTTACAGACTAAGCTGCACTAGTTAGATAATGTGGTCATCAGTTTGAGCCCTAAATAGTCAGGTTGTTTGAGCCCTAAATAGTTAGGTTGTTTGAGCCCTAAATAGTCAGGTTGTTTGAGCCCTAAATAGTTAAGTTGTTTGAGCCCTAAATAGTCAGGTTGTTTGAGCCCTAAATAGTCAGGTTGTTTGAGCCCTAAATACTTAGGTTGTTTGAGCCCTAAATACTTAGGTTGTTTGAGCCCTAAATAGTTAGGTTGTTTGAGCCCTAAATAGTTAGGTTGTTTGAGCCCTAAATAGTCAGGTTGTTTGAGCCCTAAATAGTCCGGTTGTTTGAGTTCTAAATAGTTAGGTTGTTTGAGCCCTAAATAGTTAGGTTGTTTGAGCCCTAAATAGTCAGGTTGTTTGAGCTCTAAATAGTCAGGTTGTTTGAGCCCTAAATAGTCAGGTTGTTTGAGCCCTAAATAGTCAGGTTGTTTGAGCCCTAAATAGTCATGTTGTTTGAGCCCTAAATAGTCAGGTTGTTTGAGCCCTAAATAGTCAAGTTGTTTGAGCCCTAAATAGTCAGGTTGTTTGAGCCCTAAATAGTCAGGTTGTTTGAGCCCTAAATAGTCAGGTTGTTTGAGCCCTAAATAGTCAGGTTGTTTGAGCCCTAAATAGTCAGGTTGTTTGAGCCCTAAATAGTCAGGTTGTTTGAGCCCTAAATAGTCAGGTTGTTTGAGCCCTAAATAGTCAGGTTGTTTGAGCCCTAAATAGTCAGGTTGTTTGAGCCCTAAATAGTCAGGTTGTTTGAGCCCTAAATAGTCAGGTTGTTTGAGCCCTAAATAGTTAGGTTGTTTGAGCCCTAAATAGTTAGGTTGTTTGAGCCCTAAATAGTCAGGTTGTTTGAGCCCTAAATAGTTAGGTTGTTTGAGCCCTAAATAGTCAGGTTGTTTGAGCCCTAAATAGTCAGGTTTGAGCCCTAAATAGTCAGGTTGTTTGAGCCCTAAATAGTCAGGTTGTTTGAGCCCTAAATACTTAGGGTGTTTGAGCCCTAAATAGTTAGGTTGTTTGAGCCCTAAATAGTCAGGTTGTTTGAGCCCTAAATAGTCAGGTTGTTTGAGCCCTAAATAGTCAGGTTGTTTGAGCCCTAAATAGTCAGGTTGTTTGAGCCCTAAATAGTTAGGTTGTTTGAGCCCTAAATAGTCAGGTTGTTTGAGCCCTAAATAGTTAGGTTGTTTGAGCCCTAAATAGTCAGGTTGTTTGACCCCTAAATAGTCAGGTTGTTGTAGAGACTTTGTTGCTGGTTGAGTCCCTGCAGGGACTGATGGTGTAGTTTTCATGTTTCTCTACACGCTTGCACAACTGTGAGGTGTTTTGGAACTTCATTATCTTCAGAGAAGCATGTCAGGATATAAATCAAGTGATGGTTTATCAGCAAACACAGGCAGACTGGCTGAAATTATATCTGTTGAGATGGCTCAGATTGTTTTGCAGTTGAGGATATGCCTAAAGAAAATACAGGTGATGAAACTATTTGCCTGGGCATTTATCAAAATTTCTAATTGCAAACTGAAGACTGTCAATTAGTTTATATACCTGGGGTCTACAATATCAGATAACCTTTCCCTGAGTTGAGTTGAGTCAAGAATTGACACCACAGCACTTTTGGCTTTCCCATACATGCTCCGTCCCCATCCTCAGCTGCCAGTGCAGAGTTCCAATATTAATGGTGCCTGTGATAGTCTGGTTGAATGTCTGTTTTGCCGCTCCTCTGAGCGTATTGTGTTGGCCGAACCCTCTGGTCACACCCAGGTGCATCATTCTCCCTAATAATCTAGTTTCTCTCTGACTTCGTTACTTGTTCCCAAAGGGCTGTGACCACATCTGCCTTGTCATTATGTCAATTCACCACCCAGCTGGAAACCTTTTAAGGCGTCAAAGGCAAAGGTGGCTGTATTTAACCATGTATCCTTCCCTGGCAGGTAACTTCCCAAACCTCCTGAAAGAAGCTTTCTTTGTTCCAAAAGTCTTGTAGCTTACCCGCCACTATCTTCTACTTCACTTTGCCAAAAGTATTTTTTTTATGTTATGATCCTAAAGCTGCTGAGTGTTGAATGATCCTTGCCAGGCTTAGGAAGTGGAATCAGGTCACTCGTGTGGAACTGTAGCTGTCCTCATGCTCTGGTTGAAACAGGTAGTATCTCCAGCAGGTTAGCTTCACTCTTGTCCCTCAAATGGGAATATCTGATCCTGTCAGGTCCGGGTGCAGTGTCTTTCACCCCTTTTCAGAACATGTTTCACATCTTCCACCTGTTTGATGTCTTCATAATGTTTATTCTTTATGGCGGCTGACAGATGTTCTCTAACTGCATTTCTGTTGTCTCCATAATTGTGGCCTGTCTGTGAATTGAACCTCTTCAGGAAAGCCTCACCCTTCTCTTTGCCTGTGGTCAATAGCAAACCATCGTCTGTATGAATTGTTCCCACTAAGCTGGGCTGATCTTTCTTGAGCATCTGTCTGTGTAGTTCCAGAACTTTCCCAAAGTCTTTTTCTTCTTCTTCTTCATTCGTTCGCCTGAAATAAGTTGTCTATATCAGCAGTTTTGTCTCTTGTATAAATTTTACTGTCATTGTTAGTTCATTCAGTGGTCCATAGAGTTTACGTTCCACTGTTGTTCTTTCTGGCCAAAAGGTTTGCCTTAATGTGTCAAATTCGGTGCAGTCCTGGAGTACATGCTCTGCTGTCTGGGGCACCTTTCCACAGGTGCACAAGGCTGATACACCTATCTTGAATTTTGTGTACATGTGGTTACGTAATCGGTTGTGCCCTGTTTTGAGGCGGAGGATAATGACTTGTGCTGGGGCTTGTGGTTTTCTGATCGATTTAATGATTCTTTTCTTTTGGTGGTATGTGACTGGTACATCCGGCTGCACTTTTGTCGCACCTGCCCCTGCCAGTTGATCAGCTTTCTCATTCCCAGGCACTCCACAATGAGACGGTATCCACTGCATTACGACTCTTCGCGGAAGGCTGTGTTGTGTCAGCAGTGTTTGCAATTCTGGTAGTTTCTTAGACTGGAGTGCTTCAAGCACAGATTTAGCATCTGTTAGCATTACCAAATACTGTGAGCCAAGATTGGTATTTAGCAGTTTCTCTGATGCTATCTTGATAGCTTGAGTTTCTGCATCATAGTTATGGCAGTACTTTCCGGTTGGTATGCTGGACTTATCCCTAGTACCATCTGGGAATTCTATGTTCACTCCAGCACCACCATTTCTAACTGCACTTTGTGCGGACCCATTTGTATAGATTCTGACCCATTATTCTTGTGGGTATTCTTTATCAATACTGAGGGTGGCCATTCTGTGTTGTACACTATCTTGCTCTTTCTTGTCAAATATCCCTTTCACATTTGTCTGGATTTGTACTGTTAGTTTGCATTTTTCTCTCCATGGGGTTTGTTCCGGAATACTTTTAAGTGGGCAACTGGTTTCTGGAAGGTCAGTA